ATTATATCTATATCCCTCTTGAACCGCGTGTCCTCCATCTAAGAAACAAATTTCTATTGAACATCCCTGAGGGTTACCTATGATATCTTACCACTACCTACCTAATAACTTTACAGATAAATTACAAAGGAAATATATATATCCATATACTACTCACTCCCTCATCACTCACCCCCTCCCTCACACACTTAACCACTTAATTAAACATATACACATCCACCATCTATATCTTTATAATCTTACCACCAAAGATCATCTATCCCTCCGCCCTTAACTCTTAACCCCTAATCCCAATCCTACTCATTCATCCATCTATCCAATCATCCAATAATAAATACACAAGCACAAACACATCCCAGCTTATATATACATATACAAATACATACCTCTATAAACCCTACACAACCATCTGCCTAAGATCTTACCTACCATCTACTTCCTCCCTTCCTTCCCTCTCTCTCTCCCCCCCCCCTGACCTCATAACCCCCTTACAACAAGGCCATCCACCAAATCCATAAACTCCATCAAATCCGCAAACTCCCTAAACTTCACTTAAAAAACTTACTTAAATTTCACTCACCTTTTCACTAAACAACCAATATAAGATCTAACTAAGCTTACCTACCTAATAGAATATCCTAAACAAAAACTTTTAAGATAACAATACCAAGTACCTACCTAGTATCAACAACCAACACCATTTCACTTCATCACTTCACCATTTCACCATTTTAACTTCCTACCTAGACGCCTATACATCTGTCCTAACCTATCCTAATCTCTTGTACTACCTAATCAAACTTAAATAAAATCATCACCATCACCATTCACCAAAGGGAAGAAAAAAAAAAAAAAGAGAAAAAGGTAAAAAAGACATATCTATCAAGGGCATTATTAGACTATAATACAAGCTTTGTATGGAACCGACGCCAGATTCAATAGTTGTTAAAAGTTGATTGCAGTGATACCTGCCGATGCATTACAGAGCCTGGCTTATGAGTCCTTCCCTCCATAAAACTCCACTCTTATTCTTCATCATGCCTAACCGACTTCAACATCACATATACCAAATGTATCATCTGGAGGTTCACTTTTGAAAATGTCAACCCAGTTTATCAAATACCACACACAATATATTGTGAGAAACTCTGTCGACTTCGCAGTTCATCACTCCCCTTCCCCTTATCCTTATTCTCCTCTCCCTCCAGCCATATAACCCCCCTCGAAGATTTTGATAACGCAAAAAAAAAAGAAAGACACGGAGGAAGAAATTTGGAAGATGTCGTGTGTGTGTGTGTGTGTGTGTGTGTGTGTGTGTGTGTGTGTGTAGTAAAGTTGAAACCAAAGGTTTCTCCAGGATATCGTCGCAAGGTCCCAGTGCTTAAGAACGCTGATGAAAAGCAATGCAATAGGACCTCCCATAGAAACAAGAACATCGAAATGAAGAATTATTGTGCACAGAATCTGAGATGCGCAGCTTTGTTGGGTCCCTTATTTTACTGTATCGGAAGTAATTGATCGGGAAGGACCATCTCTGTCGCTTAAATATAAGGGAGACTGTTATAAAGACTTCGACCAATCTATGTCGAGAGTCACGAATATTAAAGAGTCGTATCTGGGAGGTGATTAAGTAAAAAAAACGAAGTGCCAGTTGAAAATGACACCGCATGCGACGAGAATTCGTTATCGTCGAAATAATAGGCCAGATCTACATGGCCCAAACCTTGAGCTGGAAGTGGGAGTAAAATATTGTAAGTTATGTGGACCAGAGTTTGAGCTGAAGAAAGAAACGGAAAAGTTAGTTTGAGAAAAGAGGAAAGAAAGCGAATAAAAAAGTTAGTTTGACTCACCAGTGAATCCCATGATCCAGTGCACAAACTCATTCCATCGTTACTAACACCCAAACAACTGACACGGTTGTCATGGCCAACCAGTGATCCAACCTTCTCGGCACGAGTGATATCCCATACCTAGAAGAGAGGTTAAAATCATAGTCCTCTTTGGATGGTATGGCTAGATCTATAATGACTTACCTTGCACTCGAAATCATCATAACCAGCAAACAACAGTCTACCAGATACAGAGCAGGCAACAGATGTGATTCCACAGAGGATGGACTCATGCTAGACATTGTTAGTGACAAATTTATGGGGCCTGAAAGGTAAAGACCTACTCCATATTGGTTGAGCTCTCTATCAGCACGAATGTCGAAGAGTCTGCAGGTGGCATCATCGGAACCAGTGACAAATGAGTGTCCATCTGGAAAGAATTGGATGGCGTTGATATCTGATTCATGTCCTGCGAAAGTTTGAACAGCCTTGCCTGCACGAACATCCCAAAGTTTAGCAAAGGCATCGCAAGCACCTGAAACGAATGTATTTTGATTAGTTGGGTTTATACTGATGCTCATGACATCACCCAAATGATCTGCGAACTCGGTGACCTTTGATCCTGTTTCGACATCCCACTTCATACATGTCATATCTCCGGAAGATGTAAGGATAGCTCGGTCATTGATGAATCGACAGCAAGATAGATATCCGGAATGTCCAGAAAGTTCCCTAGCGACCCGCGTAGGTCCATCGCGATTGGAATTTAAGTTATAGATGGAACAAATGTTATCCAATCCACCACAGGCGACGTAGTTACCACTTGGTGCATAGGCACAAGTCATGACCCATGAAGATCTTAGAGGAATGGCGTGAACCTTGTTCGTTGTGTACGCATCCCAAATAATTAATTTACCATCTTGCGATGCTGATACCAAATGCCTTCTATCCGTCGACCAGTGCATTGCATAAATCTTTGCGAGATGTCCTTTTAATGTCTTTCGAGTCTTTAGCATTTGATTCTTTGGTAAAGCTTCTTGCTGAGCCCTCGCAAGGTTCATCACTGTAACATCACTCATTAGCCATACAATCGCAGACATCATCAAACATTTCCCGATGAGACCGAAGATTGTTGTGAAAGCTGAAATATGATTAATTACTCACACGTTGCGTCTGCCAAATCATCCTTCTTGCGCTTTATCCTATCCTTTAAGGATTCTGCTTCACGACGAGCCTGCTGAATACGCGACTGCATCGCCTCGGGCGATACATCGTTCGACGACATCTCGGTCAGTCTGATGGATGGTATCAATTGCGATGATATCTCAGCTCGATAATTATCGTAGTTGTTTCAATTGTCGACGAGGCTGTAGGGGGTTGCGACCAAGCGGAGGATAGCTTCCCGAGTTTGTTGGTTGACAAGAATGAAATTGGCTGAGGGTAAGCAGTTCAGCTATCGGAAGGTCTTAAGGAATTTGTCGCCGGTTTGGTATCAATTGAGTATGCTTGGGGCTTGTTGTTTATGGTAATTTCCGGGGATGTATTAAAGGTCTCCTCTTCTTTGTGTGAAATGAATCAAATGCGAGGTATATCAAAGTAACGGGGACAAACTTCTCTGCCTTCTTCTTGGTCAAATTGTGGAACAAGACTTTGTATGGAAGGGATCCTCTGCTTCGGATTTGATGGGTTGAAGAAAGTTGAGGCAATCTTGAACGGGATTGAGAAGGATGATTTGATTTAGAAGGTACAGTAGTGCAAGTAACACCCAGTTATTTGCGTTTCTTTTTCTCGCTTAACGATCCTCTAACCTGGATTGACTTGGGTTTGATGGCGCTAGCAGCTCTCTTTCGGGTCTGGGCTAAATAAAAGCAGAGTGAGAAGGAAGCCGGTGGGAAAATGGCAAGAACTGGTTTAGTGGAAATCAAAATTAATAATGGGGAAAAGAGATTTTGGGAAGGAGTGGTTAATTATTGGGAATTGAGAAGGAGAGGGAAGGAGGGAAGGAAAGGAGGAGCAAGTGAAAAAGTAAGAGTATATGAAGTGAATAGAGAGTAATATAACAAGTCGATAATACGTGAATGGATAACTAAGGGAGGTTACTAATAAGTAAAGTACTAATAAAGTAAATAAAACTAAGATAAACCAGTCCAAGAGGTGTAAACCAGATCAAAGCAAAGAACAACTTCCTTCAAGATTGTAGATCAAACGAATCTATCATTCTTTCGGAATGAATATCTCAGGTGGGTTGAAAAGGAAGTAGTAGAAGAGGAGTCCTGAGTGAGTAGATACCGGTGCTCTCGTAAGATACCTACTCCGTGCTGCATAACAGTATCAAGCTCGGGGATATCAATTGAATTACGGATATGTAATCAAATAATGAAAGTTATCAGATTGATTTGTCTACCTAGTATCTACTTACTCCCTAAGGTATATGAGAAGCTCTAAATGTTACATACTCTGTATATTACAAATATTACAAATATTGGATGACATAAAAAAGGAGAATGGGGAGATTAAAATGACGATAAAATACTAACAAGTACCTAGTTAGGCACTAGGTAAGCTACAAGAACGCCGAGGTAGGTACTCGAGTGAAAAATAACAGCTAGCAGCATATCAATTTCAGTAAAGTATTTCTTCAAAGAACTACTGTAACTTCTGTAGCTACTACAACTACTGTAACTACCTACATAACCACGAAACTACTAGGTAAGTCCTGTACCTAAGTTAGTTACGATTGATAGATTGACTTGTACCTGCTTTACTTCCATTCTACCATCCATCCATCCTGGATTATATGCTTGCAGCGGCATCCATAAAATAAATACATACTAGGGAATTAAAAGATCTACTCTACCACCATTATCCTATCTAACCTACCATACCTACCAAATCTACCTTACCTACCCATCCGATACCTCCGTACACATCTCACACCGGCACGAAGGAGAAAGGCACATTGTTATCATCTCCTTGACCAAGGTTACCTCCAACGTGATATCTTGAATGCTATAGGAGGAGAACACGAAGAAGGAGAAACCAAGTTACCTTTGCGGTATTATCTTGCATCCTGCAAGTCGCAACATGGTTCAATCGGTGGGTCTTTCTATTAATTGCAGATGCATATTGATCAGCAGGGCACAAATATGGTAATGAGATCTAATGCTTCTCCAGCTTTTCAACTTGCTGTCAACTAATGACCGACGTTGACCTATAGGATCAAGAGCGCATACAAAAGATGCATCATTCGTACAACACCATATTTCATCGTCGTATTGATCTCAATTGTTGGTAAAGGGTCCCAAAGTTGACCTCGATTGCGTTTGCGTACCAAATATTGCACCGTGGGGAATTCTTTTGCTTCCCGTTCTCTAAAGTTTCGACTAGGATGAACATCGGGGACTTGATTTTAAATAATCAAGCATCAAGGTCGGTCGGTTACTGGGATTGACGGGGATTGTGATGGCGGGCTCTACTAAATTCCCCTGGTTAATTCATAATAATACAGATACTCCGTAATAATCAAATCATCTTCCCATTTGGGTGTTGTGGAGTGTCTTTTTGTATTCAAGATCCGATATATCTAAGAATCTTTTGGTTTGGCGCAAGATAGGAAGACCTTAGGGAAATCTATCACGTCTATCACATCTGTCTCATCTATCCATCCTATCCATCAATCAATTCAATCCATCCATCAATCCATCGACTTTTAACGGTATCACATCGCGCAATTGAGTCTGTTACCCCTTCATCTACCGCAATACATACCGCACAGGGACTACGACGACCTCCAATTAGTTTAGACCCAATTTTTAAAGATTAAACAAGCTCCGTCGGCTCCATCAAGTGCGCAGCAAGATATATCACAGGTAATCTCGCCGCTCTTGGTATTTTTACCTGTACGGAGTAGTTCTGCTCGAGCTTTTCCCAGGAACCGATCAAAAAAAAAAAAGGACGAATGAACCGTTTTCTATCAATCCTATTGGCAGAAGCATCCATAATTCTTTTCATAATATCCACCTCCCATTCCCATTATGCAGAGTGGAGAATCTAAAGCCACGAATTCAGTATCTACCGATTCTCAGATTGGAAGATCTCCCGAAGTCGAGTTTGATCATTTTGATTGGTCAGTAGTAAGATTGGTCATCAGGGTATTACTGGACACCAGTTAGTTGTTGCTGCATCAAAGTGCTTGCAGCCGTGAACTTCAAACATTCACGGGAGACATCACGACAGCCAAAACACCATATTCAATATCTAGCCGAGGAATTTTACTTTAGATTCAGTCTCTTCATCCAAGACAAATTCTCAAGATCATTCTCACGCAATGGATTCATCAAGCTCAGAAGAAATCATTGATTTTACATCCTTGCCAAAAATTGAAGTAAGTTCTAAATGGTACATGCATATTTCGTGTTGTACATATTTAATGTCCGTCCAAAGCCCGGCGATCCTGTTACTCAAACTGCCCAGCCGCATGAATAACATCGATATAAGGCTGAAAAAAATTTGCTACTTAGTTACATGCCCATCTAAGTGGAAGTATCAGTCGACAATGTCTTCATGAAGTATGGCTTCAGAAACAGGAAAGGGGTGAGACTACATTGGTAGATCCATTGGTTGAGATGCCCGATGGTAAATTCGATTATGATCTTGAGACGTGAGTGATGTTTGTTTCATTTATTACTTTCTTCTTCTTCGGAACTATGAGATAAGTACATGGTTGTTCAGATGAACGGAATCCTGAGTTCGGGAAAGCCATGTACTGGCTATAGCAGTCTTTTCGCAAGCTATCAGATAGTCAGAATTCATTTCAATAATACCGATAAGTTTTTGATTCTTGGCTTTGTTTGAAATAGTCAGATTATCTGAGATTGAGTCGATGAATTAATTCGAATAATTAATCACTTTTATCATTTACAACTTTTCAAACATTGGAAGCTGTTCGAAGATTGGAAGTTTGAATAGTTTACCAGTTCGGACTATTACACATACCCCGCTTTTCACGTTTACTACCCAGCATGTCTCATTATATCTTTCTAGATTCTTCCCACTCTTCTCCAAGTATATCTACGAACTCTGCAACGACCTTTCCTCTCTAATCTACACCACCAATTCTGTTCTTTCAGATTTCCAAGCCGATGGCGTAGTATACCTCGAATTACGCACCACACCTCGAGCCATCCCTTCAGCTGGCATCACTAAAGATATCTACATTCAAACAATCCTCGACTGCATCAATAAACACAACAATGCAAATCCTTCCATGAAAACACGTTTAATTCTCTCCATCGACAGACGAAACGATGCTGAAACAGCAATGCAAGTTGTGAAACTAGCCCACAAATACCATTCCCAAGACCTAGGCGTAGTAGGAATCGATCTCTGTGGCGATCCCTCCGTAGGTGATATAAGTATATTCGAAGCCGCATTCCGCGCCGCTCGAAACCATGACATGAAAATCACAATACATTTTGCAGAGATGAAACAAGTTTCAAGGAAAGAATTAGAAACGCTTTTGGAGTTTAAACCCCATAGGATAGGTCATGTGATACACGTACCCGAAGATCTGAAACGAGAGATTGAGAGGTCGGGCTTGGGCTTGGAACTTTGTTTGAGTTGTAATGTGCATGCGAAGATGATTACGGGGTCGTTTGGTGATCATCATTTTGGTGAGTGGTGGGGAAGCTCGAGGGAGGGGAATTGTTCGGTGGTTTTATGTGTATGTGTTTTTTTTTTCTCTTGTTGTTTTCAATCACCCTATTTTTGTGGGTTTGGTGGTATATTTGGAGGGAGTTTATATCTTGAGATTGTATATCCCTCTTCATTATATGAGAATACTAATACTAATACTAACGCTAATCAATCAAAAATAACAGACAGATGACGTAGGAGTCTTCGGAAGCAAACTTTCGGATGAATACGCATTGGTAGCTCGACATTTCAACCTCGACCGAAAGGATATTTGTACATTGGCACGAAGTGGGATTGAGGTTATTTTTGGGAGTGAGGGGGATAGGGAATGGTTGAGGGGGGTTATGTGGAGGGTGTAGTGGATAGAGTGTTGAAATTGGTTGGTTGGATGGATGGATGGATGTAATAAGTCTTGATGGGGAATCTCTTTTTTAGATTTTAGAGTTGAAGTTGAAGTTGAAGTTGAAGGGTTGAAAATATATGTATGTACTAGGTATGTATTATGCTGTAATGCTGGATTGAAAGTGGCAAGTGGATGGATGGGAACAAGTAGAATCTAAGGCTTGCGATATTATTTCAGTATTATTAAGAGAAAAATATAAGTAGATATTTAGACACTATGAACCCTGTTTCTAAAACTTCATTTTTGTATTTATATTTTTGGGTTGTTTATGTGTTTTTATATGTGTTTGTGTCTTAGCAATCTTAAGATTATGTTGTATATATTATATTATATTGTATTATATAAATATATAAGGGTAATATCAACTTGAAAGGTTCAAAGTTATATTGAGGCGTGAGGATATTGGGTGAAGAAGGGTTGAGGATTTGGAGTTAGATGGGGATGGGGATGAGCATGAAGATAGGTATGAGGAAGAGAATTGGCTTTCTTGGTTTGTGATTTGTCGGGGGGAAGGGCGGGTGGATGATTGCTGTTATGTGAAGGGAAGTGAGTTGTCTAAACAGGGTAGGGAGTTTGGTGGTTTTTGAGGGTGGGAGAGCCCTTTGAGGAGGGGAGGGTTTTTGTATTTTGATGATGTGATGGGATGTGAATGGGATGGTGGAGAGGTCTAGAGAGGTGGAAATAGAGGGGTATAGTTGGGTTGGAAGTGGAAGTGGAATGGAATAGAATATTATGATGGAAAGGGAGGGGGGTGGAATGATGGAGAGAGGATAGTGAAGCGGAATAGGGTATGGATGTTGGGATGCTGGGATGCTGGGTGGTGGATGAGAGATATAGAATGTGGGATATGGGATATGGGATATGGGATATGGGATATGGGATATGGGATATGGGATATGGGATATGGGATATGGGATATGGGATATGGGATATGGATGGGAGAGATGGTAGTGATTAAAATTTTGAGTAGAAGAATATAATAATCAACAGAAATATAAACTGATCTTATAATAACGATTAGATTAATATACAAAAACAAAAATATTATAAAAAGAATATTTAATTTATTTAATTAATTGTTACGAGGTTTGCCGTCTAGATCACGTGGAAGTGCTCTAGGCTCTCGAGGTGGTTTATAACTAGGCGTCAAGCAGGGACTTAAGTAATGACAAATAATGATATGCAATTCGCAACTAATAGTAGAGTATACTAAATGATTGATCTTGAGCACGAAGTTCTATACAAAGGAAATCCATCTTGATTATATAGGCCTTCGTGTTCTGGCTCTAGAGGCTCTAACTAGATTGATTAGAGCCGGTCACATGATAGCTTTGATCCTGTGATTAGTCATGTGATACGGAAATATGTTAGCCGTCGTAACAATATTCTTATAGATAAATAAATAAATAGACTAGATGGCGAGGGAATATACACTCTACGCGAATGTAGTGAGAGAAAGATAAATAATTAGTACATTTTCCATCAAAGTCTTAAATTATTTACCTACTAACCTAGTAACTAAATCATATATGTGAAATTCGAAGTATTCATTCATTCATTCATCCATCCATCCATCCATCCATCCACTCACCCACATAAAACCAGCAGGCACAAGACAAATTACACTCACTCTGTAAATTGTAAGCCGTGGAGGTATTTTACTAGGATTTTACTTGTAGGTACCTAGATAAGATTCTTTAAGGTATTCATGCGGAGTTGATGGCGGGAGGGATGTAATGGAGAATGCTTAGATACTAGATGTGTGTTTGTGGGACTGATGGTGGGGTAGATGGGTACAGAATAGAGTAGGTTAAGAAAGCTTGGTTGTTGGTGTAGTGGAAATCAATGGGGGGTTTTGTGGGGTTGGTTGGTTGGTGGATGGATGGTGGGGTAAGGTTGTTGGGGTGGTTTTGAGGTAATCTTAGGATAGGGTTAGGAGTTTGCTGAGAATACCTATTAGGTAGGTAGGTATTTGGGAGGTAGATAGAGTAGGTAACCTGAGAATTTCCATGGTGGAGTGAGTGGAGAAGAGAGGAGATGAAAAAGATGATATCGATATAGATATGTAAATGCGATTTCGGAAGATATAAGGTTAATATAACACAATGTTAGATAGTTAGAATCACCCAAAAGGAAAGTTTTGCTGGGATCCATTGACTTTAGATGGATAAGGTGCCTAATCAAGACTGATTGATCGACTGAGTGGTCTGAGTAGGTATGTATTCGAGTTTGAATGGTGTGAAATTGGTAGATATTAGTGGGTAGGTATGTACTAGAGTGTAATAGAGTGTGATAGTTAGATTTTATATGGATCGGATGATCTGGCTACCTCGAATAGGCTCTTAAAGGTTGCAAAGATGTAGTTATACTAGGTAGGTAGGTAGTAAAAGATGTAGTAATAGGAATAGTAAGGCTTAGAGAGGAAAAGAATATTTGAGCTTTAGAATGTGTGAGGTGAGTGGAGTAAAGTAGCTACCTAATAATCTTACCTACTTCCATTATGAATAGATGTGTCTCAATGTTATGTCTTTGTGCTGCTGTGGTTATCCTAATTATGATGCTTTGAGCATACTTCATCATGTGTGGTTTCTAGACTCTTGATTAGTAATGGGTGGGATATACTCGTAATATATATGGTTTCTAGACTTTTTGACTGATAGTGGATGAGATATAATATATTATCTGATATATATGGTTTTTGGACTTTCGTAGTAGGTATCTGAGTTAATGCATACTAGATGACGAGTGTTTTGTGATGGTTCTCTAGCCTTAAATATGGAGTATGGGTATTTATGAATGTCGATGATTTGAGCATGGCATGGATATATCGATATTGATACAAGGTTATCGTTATTGATGAGACGGAGTGAGGTGAAGTGAGTAAAGTGAAGAATATATACTAGTATATGTATATGTATGTATCTATCTGTCTGCCTGAGGGAATATCATTAATGGATCTGCTATATAATGAGAATATATATATTCTTTACGTACCTAATACATCCCCAATTAGATGATCAATCATGGATAATTTCAGCCGTATTGTGATCTCTACTACAAGTCTCTACTACAACCGTTCACCGAACTTAAATCCTGGCTTATCGTACGGAAGTAAAAGATCAATGCGATAACCAAGCTTGGGCACACACCACCACCACACAGCACAGCTTAAAGGAACCCCGCATTAACGCTAGTGGGCCTCACCTAATCAATTAAACCCTCATACCTAACGAAAGACCTGCTGCCTTGTTAAGGTCAACACCCATTACGGCTCGACTCCTTATAAAAAGGAAAAGAAACATCTTACATATTTGGTATGAGGTGCAACACAAAAACCTCAAGCTTGTCACCCTACCATCTAAATTCCCTAATCATTATTAACCACATACAAAGAAAGTCAGAAGCAGAAGCTTCAACTTCTCTATCTCTGACACGTCTACGCTTAATCTATCAAAGCCCGGACTTCCTCGATTTACCAATAGGCAACGATTCGGCAAGTACTAACTTAGTTAACTCCTCCCACTTTCTCCCAATCTACGGCTCCATTCGGTGTACGCTTTCTCCATAGAAACTGGAGTGGGAACTTTACATCATCAAGAACAGTTCAAAAGTAGGGATCTCCTCTTTCTTCATCTTCTTGTCAACCTTAACTTTGTTATTTACCGTGTTCTTGAAAGCTATCTCCATCCGAACTGCCTCACATTCATTCACAATCACTTCTTTGACCTTACCCATTTGCTCGACATTTGACATACTATATCGCAAGGCTAATGACATGGAGTCACCCAGCGAGATTCCTTCTTTAGATTTGATATCTCAAAATCAACCACTAGAGAATTCCACCGAATTTCGGTTTCCTGCCCCCGCCGTCGATACAAGAGTAACTACCTGGGTCGAAACCCAATCTTCTAACAAGATGTCCACACTCAGCGAATCCCCATCTGATGAAAGTCACCTTTCCGAATCTACTTATGAATTCATTGATACAGATGATGAGAGTCATGATGAGAATGCTACCGAGTCTATAGCTTCGGTTGAATTTGGTCATCCAGATGACATGCAGAGCCTTGCAGATACTGAAAATACTGATGAGAGTGGGGATGAACATACACACGATTCTTCAATTCCTGCCTATGGTTTGGATAATTCAATCAATAATTCTTTCAATAATCCTACCATCGGTCGAAATTCTGCTGTCTTACATGACGATTCCGATACCGCACTCTCACAATCCATCGAATTTGAAGAACCATACGGTAGCCTTGGGGTTGAGAATGTATCAGTCAAACATACAGTTGCAGAGTTCACCGAGGAGGAGAATCAAACCATTGCACGAGATATGAATATGCAAAATCCTCCAAATCATTTAATCCTCACTATTCGACAGACGATGACGAAGCAAGGCTTATCGACCAAAGACCCACTCCGAATCCTCTATATAGGCAGCCATGCTGCAAAGCAGGATATCATACACAAGATTGCAAGCTCGGTCACTGCTTCAGTTGAAGGTCAGGAGCGTTCAAGTCGAAGCCCTTCTCAAATCTACAATGTTGTGCCAGTATCTGCATTTGGTTCGGAGAAAACACCAGAAATCGAGCTCATGCATTCATCTGGTTATCAAATCAAGGTTGATGACTGTGTGTCTGCTCAAAACCTACAATTCGAGGATCATCCAGAAAAGCCCGACGTCATTAGGTTAAACCTCGAGGACCCTTACTCTTACCATTCTGTTCCAGAAAAAGATCACTTCATCATTGAGCCGGAATGGGAATTACCACATGTGGCAATTTTCTACTGTTCTGATAGCGATGATTTACAAGCACGACGCACACGTACCATCGCCAGAAAGTTCATGGCTCGTCATGCCATACCGTCCATCGTCATTTCACACAAGCAATTACTGAACAAAGCTCAATGCCTGTCTTTAGATCAGCATTCCATTCATATGTGCTTAGAATCTCGAGAAACAAATAGCAGAGGGAATATCATCCATCGTCTACCAATAGATCTTAACTCCTTCTTAAACATCGATGCTAGGCAGATGAATAGAAATCTTGCCTACTTGACTGGTCTTCATGAACCTGCGAGTTTATCTACGCCACCAATTCCTAAGAAGCTTGATAATTTTGCAATCCCTACGAATCGGGAAAAGTCAGTGAGCTCAGAATGGATCCATTTTTTTGCAGAGTGGAGAGCCTTACTTCCATATGGTTTGCTTGCTTTGAGTGTTCTATTTGCTCTCTTCACCCACGGCATCCCCACTTATTCCTTTTCAAACCAATCGTCAATTTCTGTCAACAGCAAAACCATGTCAGCCGCACCGATGACTACAACATCTACCATAGGATCAGCACCATTTGTGAGCATTGCCTCCGGTACTCGAGCCACCATTACCCCTTCCCCCTCGGTTGTGAATTCATTACCGCCAAACAGTTTGTCAAAACCTCAACTAGACTTTGCAAAACTTACGCAAGCCGCTCAAAAGAAATCAGGCAAATGTGGTTCTTGTACAGCTGAGATCTTGGGAGATAGAGAGGTATTGATTCGGATTCCGCCCGCAATGAAAATCAGTTGGCTCACTAAGTTGGCAATGTCGGTCAACATCACTAGAGACAATGTCACAGTTGATACGGAGCGTGCATACAGTTCGGACGATGGAATTGTATTATTACTTCCAAAGAAGGAAGCCCATGGTGTTCTTAACATTTCGGTTGTTACTACCAAGAAGCCACGCATCAACGAGACTTTCCAAGTTGATTTTAGAACTAGTTCTCTTCAAACCATGCAAGATCTTCTAGATAGATTTTATGCCTTTTTCAGGGAAGATACTATCATAGCTGATGGTCAAACTCTTGCAGATGTTCGTACCGCTGCCGAGAAGATTATCAAAGATGTACGCCAATCCTCTCAATCAAAAATAGCCAACATCGATGAAGCGAAACATCTAGCTATGGATCGAGCATCCTATATTACCGCACAACTTACCAATTCAGCAAGAGATATGTCTTTTGAGGCTGCCAAACGCAGTGCTCGCATTTCACATGAAATTGGCTCTCAACTAGCAGGTGTGGAGAAGGTTATTGCCGAGCAATTGCATTCATTACAGAATATCGGGTACCCATTAGATGAGGGAATTCTTAAGGCTCAAGTCAGATCCAAGTCTTTATGGTTAAAAATGCAAGGAAAGAATGCGGAGGCGAAGGAGTATGAACGCAGAGCTGCAATAGCTATGAGTAAGAAGGCTAAAGAGGCAGAAAAATCTGAGGAGACACCTTTGCCCAAACCACAGAAGACAAAGTTTCAGTTGTGGAAGGAAAAGAGAGATACATATAGGGCTGTTAGAAAGGAAGAGAGAGCCGTGAAGAAAGAAGCTAGACAAGCAATCAAAGCAGCAAATAAGGAAGCAAGAGCTGCTGCTAAGAGAGCAGGATGGACTGGGAATTGAGGCGTTTATATTTGGGGAGTTATGGAATAGGACAATGGATTGGGATGGATTGGGGGGTATACCAGAATGGGATGGGGGTATGGATGGACGGACGGACGGATCAAGGTGAACCTTGTTTACTGCGTAATATGATATGGACACAATATGATACGCATCGATGAATTTTACGGGGGGGAATACAATGCAATGCAATGACTGTTTAGGTTAGGGCTGAATTAGGTTGGTTTGCTCTATAGGACAGAATCGCCTAAGAAGAGCTAGGGGTTAGGTTAAGTTTCGTAGGGTTTCAGCTCAATCATGTTACGAGGCTTGCCGTCTAGATCACGTGGAAGTGCTCTAGGCTCTCGAGGTGGTTTATAACTAGGCGTCAAGCAGGGACTTAAAGTAATGACAATGATGATGTGCAATTCGTAACTAATAGTAGAGTATACTAAATGATTGATCTCGATCTTGAGCACGAAGCTCTATACAAAGGGAATCCATCTTGATTATATAGACCTTCGTATTCCAACATTGGAGCGATGGAGCTGGGGAGCGAGATTCGAATCTCGCTCCTTCGCTCCCTCGCTCCCTCACAAGACTATTCATGTGATCCTATAACACGTGATAATAGTTATAATGTTACAACGTAACAAATCACGCGGAATCCTCCGGTAGTATTTAATCATAGGAAAGCTCGCTACTCTTGTTTCCCTTCTTCTTTTCTCCTTAGCTTAGTAATTTCTAATGCAAGATACTCTACCCAGTCTTCATATCACACTCACCAACTCTGGCTTCAGAATCTCGTATTAGAAAATACTAAGCTAAGGAGAAAAGAAAAAGGAAAACAAGAGTAGAGAGTTTTCCTATGATTAAATACAAACGGG